TTGTGGTATGCGTTTCATTGTGAAATTTCAAGACATGGTTAGACTTTACACTTGAGGGAACGTGCCTTCTTAGCTTAGTTGGTAGAGCACCCGCTTAGTAAGCGGGAGGTCGTCGGTTCAACTCCGGCAGAAGGCTAGCTCTGAGTCCGTTTGTCGAAAACCGACTGAATTTCGTAATTTTTCACTGAAATTTAGTATCAAATTGTTGCACCACTTGAATTGTGGTATGCGTTTCATTGAGAAATTTCACGACATGGTTAGACTTTAGACTTGCAAGACCGTGCCTTCTTAGCTTAGTTGGTAGAGCACCCGCTTAGTAAGCGGGAGGTCGTCGGTTCAACTCCGGCAGAAGGCTTGCTCTGAGTCCGTTTGTCGAAAACCGACTGAATTTCGTAATTTTTCACTGAAATTTAGTACCAAATTGTTGCACCACTTGAATTGTGGTATGCGTTTCATTGTGGAATTCTATGGCATGGTTAGACTCCACACTCGAGGGAACGTGCCTTCTTAGCTTAGTTGGTAGAGCATCCGCTTAGTAAGCGGGAGGTCGTCGGTTCAACTCCGGCAGAAGGCTAGCTCTGAGTCCGCTTGTCGGAAACCGACTGCATTTCGTAATTTTTCACTGAGATTTAGTATCAAATTGTTGCACCACTTGAATTGTGGTATGCGTTTCATTGTGAAATTTCAAGACATGGTTAGACTTTACACTTGAGGGAACGTGCCTTCTTAGCTTAGTTGGTAGAGCACCCGCTTAGTAAGCGGGAGGTCGTCGGTTCAACTCCGGCAGAAGGCTAGCTCTGAGTCCGTTTGTCGAAAACCGACTGAATTTCGTAATTTTTCACTGAAATTTAGTATCAAATTGTTGCACCACTTGAATTGTGGTATGCGTTTCATTGTGGAATTCTATGGCATGGTTAGACTCCACACTTGAGGGAACGTGCCTTCTTAGCTTAGTTGGTAGAGCACCCGCTTAGTAGGTGGGAGGTCGTCGGTTCAACTCCGGCAGAAGGCTAGCTCTGAGTCCGCTTGTCGGAAACCGACTGCATTTCGTAATTTTTCACTGAGATTTAGTATCAAATTGTTGCACCACTTGAATTGGGGTATGCGTTTCATTGTGAAATTTCAAGACATGGTTAGACTTTACACTTGAGGGAACGTGTCTTCTTAGCTTAGTTGGTAGAGCACCCGCTCAGTAAGCGGGAGGTCGTCGGTTCAACTCCGGCAGAAGGCTAGCTCTGAGTCCGCTTGTCGGAAACCGACTGCATTTCGTAATTTTTCACTGAAATTTAGTATCAAATTGTTGCACCACTTGAATTGGGGTATGCGTTTCATTGTGAAATTTCAAGACATGGTTAGACTTTACACTTGAGGGAACGTGTCTTCTTAGCTTAGTTGGTAGAGCACCCGCTCAGTAAGCGGGAGGTCGTCGGTTCAACTCCGGCAGAAGGCTAGCTCTGAGTCCGCTTGTCGGAAACCGACTGCATTTCGTAATTTTTCACTGAAATTTAGTATCAAATTGTTGCACCACTTGAATTGTGGTATGCGTTTCATTGTGGAATTCTATGGCATGGTTAGACTTTAGACTTGCAAGACCGTGCCTTCTTAGCTTAGTTGGTAGAGCACCCGCTTAGTAAGCGGGAGGTCGTCGGTTCAACTCCGTTAGAAGGCTTGCTCTGAGTTCGTTTGTCGGAAACCGACTGCATTTCGTAATTTTTCACTGAGATTTAGTATCAAATTGTTGCACCACTTGAATTGTGGTATGCGTTTCATTGTGAAATTTCAAGACATGGTTAGACTTTACACTTGCGAGACCGTGCCTTCTTAGCTTAGTTGGTAGAGCACCCGCTTAGTAAGCGGGAGGTCGTCGGTTCAACTCCGGCAAAAGGCTTGCTTTGAGTTCGTTTGTCGGAAACCGACTGCATTTCGTAATTTTTCACTGAAATTTAGTACCAAATTGTTGCACCACTTGAATTGTGGTATGCGTTTCATTGAGAAATTTCACGACATGGTTAGACTTTAGACTTGCAAGACCGTGCCTTCTTAGCTTAGTTGGTAGAGCACCCGCTTAGTAAGCGGGAGGTCGTCGGTTCAACTCCGGCAGAAGGCTTGCTTTGAGTTCGTTTGTCGGAAACCGACTGCATTTCGTAATTTTTCACTGAAATTTAGTATCAAATTGTGCGCGGGTCACACAACACCAAACACTTAGAGAGGAAATGGGATGAAATTGATTGAATCAACTATCAGGCTCATCCTCATCTCCGACCATCTCCTTGAACCGGGCCATTGCCTGGATGTAGGCTGACCTCCTCGGTCGAGGGTTGTCCCTGCCGGCCTCTTCGGCGATATCCTGCGCACTTGTGCCTTCATCAGCGGAAATATCGGAAGAAGCCTCTCCTCCGAGCGGCTCATCCTTCTTAATTGAGCCAGCAGCGGACCTCTTGATCCCCTTAGGCCGATTCCTCCTGGCCCGCGTATTCATCCAATGCTTTACAATCTCGGCGACGAGCTCGTTGTCCTTGACGTCGGTGGAGCCTCGCACCATCGCAAGGCGGAGGGCATGTGGGAGGTTGACGTGAAGGGCTCTTCGATAGTCGCTTCTCAGCCGTGTCAGGCACGAAAATGCGCGCTCCGCATCTACTGATGTAGGGGAAACCGTCTTCCCTAGCATACGGTATAATTTCCAGTTCTTTCCAACCCCCAACGAGTCTCCAAGGCTATCCAGCTCGATGTCGTCGGGAACAAGTCCACCGTCGATCTCATCTTTCGCAGCCCCCATGACGCGATTGTAGTCTACCACGAAGCTTTCGTCATCATCATCCCAGCCCAATTGATGGAACTTATCCTTGAGGAGTTTGAATCGTATACGCACCAAGTCATCGGGATATTTCTGTGAGACGTTATTGAAGGCCAACCAGCTCACCTCATCTGCCTTGAAGCGACTTCCCAAATACTGGATGAAGTCGTGCCGTAGGATTTCGACTTCAGCCGGTAATCCTTGCATAAGAGAGACCTCCCGCTGAGTCGCGTTCAGCAGCTTTATCGCGTCATGGAGATTGAGATTTTTAGCCTGAAACGATTTGGTGAGCTTCCTCAAGGGCATAAGGAACCTCTTGAGCCCAAGGAGGCCTTCCCGATGATCCTCCAGAAGGTCGAGCACATTGAATTCGTCTGCCGTCAGAGCATCAGGGTCCTTATCCCTGAGCATGTGTGTTATAGCATCCATAGTGCTAGGATTCGTCAGGGCCTCGACAGCCTGGAATTTCGAGATCCACCTTATCTCGATTATACTTGTTGGTAACTGAATCTTACCGTAGATATCCTGCAATTTCTTCAATTCTTTTTTTCTGGTTGTACTCCTGTTGAAGAGAAGGTATGCCGATCTGAGCCCTGCCTCAATCATCCTACAGAAGGTGCTTTTAGTCCACGCATCCCTACTCAGGGCTAAGTCGAGCCTATGGCTTAAACAGTGGCACCAGAAGGTGCCCCCACCGAACAATGCACTGAGATCCTCAGCGAACCTCTTCATCGTAGTGCAGCCGTCGCTCGCTATGGCCACACATCGCTTTTCGTCGATTTGGTCCAATCTATAGAGTTCGGTCACGATGCCAACGAAGGTATCGGCTTTTTGGTCGATCATAGGAATAATATCCCAAAAGGCGGTCACAGTTCTCCCACTCGAGTCAACGAAACGGCAAAGGATAGCAACCCAATTGTCCCCATCATTTGTGCTATCCAGTATAAGGCAGTGCATGGGTGCCTCCCTAATCCTGTCGGTCCAACGCTTCCTGCAGACAGCGGAACACGAGCGAGCCATCTCCCAGCCAGACTTAGTCGAGGTATGACTATGCTCGCGGCTGACGAGCTCGTCAATGAGCTCGATGAAGCTGGGGTATTTCGCCATAGCAACCTCATTCTGCACAAGCCACAGGAGAGCCTTGAACTGCTGGCTCTTCTCTGCTACCATCTTCTCCTCTTCCTCCTGCTTCTTAGCCTGTGCGCTTGCGATGATGCCACCCCAGTAGGCCTTCATGTGGGCCTTACCCTCAGCTTGTAGGAGGCTCTCGCGATGGTGTTTGTCGTCCGCGTGCTGGTCGAACAGAGACTTCTGCATGTTCCCAGAGAATCTTCTATAGTCACTCCAAACACCCTTTGTGCACACAGAGCATTTGAAGAGATCCTCCCCATCGTCGTCGACTGCCCACTCGACCCAAGTGAATATCGCTGACCAATCCTTCTTCTTCTGATCGAGAGTTTTCTTGGGAGGCATTCTCACTCAAAGACGAGAAACTAAGAGAGAAATTCAACATGGCTGACCACGTCGTTGGCGATGTGAACGAAGGATGTCTGTGATATGTGTGTGTGGTATGTGATATGTGGATGAGTGTGTGCTTTGTGTATGCGTGCTCTCTCCAAACTAAGTGAACGCGTGCGCAGCGCGCATAGGGTTCACGCTCTCTAGGCCGTCGATGAGTGCGACCCTATAAGAAATTTTTTGTACGGTCGCTCAAATGATACTTCGACTCATGAACATGTAAATCTGCTATAGAAATCTTCTTAGGAAATGCCCTGCTCCACACTCGAGGGAACGTGCCTTCTTAGCTTAGTTGGTAGAGCACCCGCTTAGTAAGCGGGAGGTCGTCGGTTCAACTCCGGCAGAAGGCTAGCTCTGAGTCCGCTTGTCGGAAACCGACTGCGTTTCGTAATTTTTCACTGAGATTTAGTATCAAATTGTTGCACCACTTGAATTGTGGTATGCGTTTCATTGTGAAATTTCAAGACATGGTTAGACTTTACACTTGAGGGAACGTGCCTTCTTAGCTTAGTTGGTAGAGCACCCGCTTAGTAAGCGGGAGGTCGTCGGTTCAACTCCGGCAGAAGGCTAGCTCTGAGTCCGTTTGTCGAAAACCGACTGAATTTCGTAATTTTTCACTGAAATTTAGTATCAAATTGTTGCACCACTTGAATTGTGGTATGCGTTTCATTGAGAAATTCCACGACATGGTTAGACTTTAGACTTGCAAGACTGTGCCTTCTTAGCTTAGTTGGTAGAGCACCCGCTTAGTAAGCGGGAGGTCGTCGGTTCAACTCCGGCAGAAGGCTTGCTCTTAGTCCGTTTGTCGAAAACCGACTGAATTTCGTAATTTTTCACTGAAATTTAGTACCAAATTGTTGCACCACTTGAATTGTGGTATGCGTTTCATTGTGGAATTCTATGGCATGGTTAGACTCCACACTTGCGAGACGTGCCTTCTTAGCTTAGTTGGTAGAGCACCCGCTTAGTAAGCGGGAGGTCGTCGGTTCAACTCCGGCAGAAGGCTAGCTCTGAGTCCGTTTGTCGGAAACCGACTGCATTTCGTAATTTTTCACTGAAATTTAGTACCAAATTGTTGCACCACTTGAATTGTGGTATGCGTTTCATTGTGAAATTTCAAGACATGGTTAGACTTTACACTTGCGAGACCGTGCCTTCTTAGCTTAGTTGGTAGAGCACCCGCTTAGTAAGCGGGAGGTCGTCGGTTCAACTCCGGCAGAAGGCTTGCTTTGAGTTCGTTCGTCGGAAACCGACTGCATTTCGTAATTTTTCACTGAAATTTAGTACCAAATTGTTGCACCACTTGAATTGTGGTATGCGTTTCATTGTGGAATTCTATGGCATGGTTAGACTCCACACTCGAGGTAACGTGCCTTCTTAGCTTAGTTGGTAGAGCACCCGCTTAGTAAGCGGGAGGTCGTCGGTTCAACTCCGGCAGAAGGCTTGCTTTGAGTTCGTTTGTCGGAAACCGACTGCATTTCGTAATTTTTCACTGAAATTTAGTATCAAATTGTTGCACCACTTGAATTGTGGTATGCGTTTCATTGTGGAATTCTATGGCATGGTTAGACTCCACACTCGAGGAAACGTGTCTTCTTAGCTTAGTTGGTAGAGCACCCGCTTAGTAAGCGGGAGGTCGTCGGTTCAACTCCGGCAGAAGGCTAGCTCTGAGTCCGTTTGTCGAAAACCGACTGAATTTCGTAATTTTTCACTGAAATTTAGTACCAAATTGTTGCACCACTTGAATTGTGGTATGCGTTTCATTGTGAAATTTCAAGACATGGTTAGACTTTACACTTGCGAGACCGTGCCTTCTTAGCTTAGTTGGTAGAGCACCCGCTTAGTAAGCGGGAGGTCGTCGGTTCAACTCCGGCAGAAGGCTTGCTTTGAGTTCGTTTGTCGGAAACCGACTGCATTTCGTAATTTTTCACTGAAATTTAGTACCAAATTGTTGCACCACTTGAATTGTGGTATGCGTTTCATTGTGGAATTCTATGGCATGGTTAGACTCCACACTCGAGGTAACGTGCCTTCTTAGCTTAGTTGGTAGAGCACTCGCTTAGTAAGCGGGAGGTCGTCGGTTCAACTCCGGCAGAAGGCTAGCTCTGAGTTCGTTTGTCGGAAACCGACTGCATTTCGTAATTTTTCACTGAAATTTAGTACCAAATTGTTGCACCACTTGAATTGTGGTATGCGTTTCATTGTGAAATTTCAAGACATGGTTAGACTTTACACTTGCGAGACCGTGCCTTCTTAGCTTAGTTGGTAGAGCACCCGCTTAGTAAGCGGGAGGTCGTCGGTTCAACTCCGGCAGAAGGCTTGCTTTGAGTTCGTT